TATCAGAAATGATCACGATTGCCTTGTAATCATTCATGCAGTTAAATGTAGTGTTATGAACGTATGACCTAAATGTGTAAATATGACCTAATTGTGTAAATATGACCTAAATGTGTAAATATCCCGGTGCGTTTGTTGCCTGTCTGTGTATACTACCTTCTGTCTGTCTCATTTAGCCCGGCCACGTCCTCCTCAAATGTCCGTTAATGTCTCTTTCTTTCATGTCTTTTTTGTCTCATATTTGACGCACACAAATGTGTCGTTTCTTTCGCTTGGTTCACACAACGTTCCTCTTCTTGCACATAACTTCACTCCGTTTGTGTCTTCTTCTTCTTCTTGTTAGGTTTTTCCGGCGGTTGGCGGCCTATTTTTGCGCATTACCGCCACCTTCTGTTCCGTGGATGGGTCAACACTCAGTTTGTGAAAAGTCTGTGGCCTTTTCTTTGCCATGCTGTTAGAAATGGAGGCCGGAGAAGTCTTCTTCAAATGTTAGCTGCTGCAGCCGATACTGCTGTTGTTGGTGCCCCCTGTGGGTCGGGGGAGACGCTGATGGTCCGTTTTGATGAAGCTCGGTTGTGGTTTGTGGCAGGGACGATTTTGGCGATCGGCCAATGAAACAGACAGAAGTTTTCTCAGAAAAAAACAGACAAACAAGAAACACAAACAAGTGTGTTAATACAATACAAAACCAATGATTAATTACGAATCTAAATAAACCTATGAAATAATTACTATTAACATTTTAAACATTAAATTCTGAAAACCAAATCTGTATTCAACTGCTATCCTAAGCCCTATTTTTCCAAAAGTATACTGTTCTTTAAGATCAGTTTAAATTTTATATCACCAAAACGTTGGGAAACATGTTTAATAACTTGTCTAGACGTTTGGAGATGGTCAAAAGAATAAAATAATGCCTCTTTATAATCTAACTTAAAGTTCTGTGACCATATGACTCCATGACAGTAACATTATCGTGTGTATAAATGTAATTTTCTACAACAAAATATTTGGTATGCCTCTTTCTTAACTGGAGAGAGGGAGAGAGAGAGCAGACAGAAAGAGGGAGGAGGGGGGCTGAGTGGCCTGTATGCCTCAAGCATTTATCAGAGAGGGAGCCAGGAGGCAGAAGGAGGGAGAAGGAGGGGCTTTGTGGCTTCTCAAACAGAGGAGTACATGTACGACTGAAATACACCAAATTCATGAACATCCCCTTTAAAATTTGCTACATTTTCCTCGTTTTTTATCGTGACAATGTTTTATCAGTGGTGAGAGTTCTCTCACGTCAAACAACACTTTACATTTATTTAAATACGTCAGTAATGGAAAACGTTACAATTTGCTTACATGACTAATGCATCACTAGATACAGCCGGATCTTTTTCGTAATACCTCTGTAACTATTGAAACATTACATCACAATACAAGAGAACTTCCATAACTGATCATTCTGGTCATTTCTCCACATGGAAAATCTTCAGCCAAGTGGCTCTCTTTTTCCTCATTAATCAGATCATTATTATTCAATAGTCAGAATCCAACAGTTTTAAATACTTGGCTTTTTTGTTTAAATTAAATGTACCCTTTTTCCCGCCCCCCGGGGGATATGGAAGGTTTTATTCCCTGTAACTTCTGACCCTAGCTGTCCCTATTTCTAATTCTATTTCTATTTTCACTAAACACTTGTGCCTCTCTGCACTTTAAAACGGTGTGCCTCTTTTGCACTTCTAAAACCCTTGTGGACTTTCTTTTCCCTTTTTGTTTTTTTAGAGGGGACCCCAAACTTCCCTCAAGGTTAAAACGTCAAATAAACCTGACTATTGTTTTATCGCGTCCGATAAAACGCCCATCACGGCGGGTCTGTCCACACCTGCAGTCATGTTGGGCCGAGATCTCTCTGTCTTCTATTAAAAACAATGTGCAGATTTTAGAAATGGTATCTGCTTACCTTTTTGTAGAGTAGAGAGCCCCCAGACCCAGTTTCTCTATCTGAGCTCATCCTGCGTCTTCTTTCTGTATCAAATCACGTCGGGGTCACCATCTGTTGTCAAAAATGATTTGACTGACGTGTTCAGAATTTGGTACAGAAATAAGGCCAATATTTCCAATAGTACATTTATTTCTCTTTACAATTAAATGTTGATACAGAACTCCTGGAGCTACTCCCTAAATCTCTATCCCTGTGCTCTAACTCCCCACAATGTGTCCTCCCAACGGTTTTATCAGAATCTCCGATGACGTCAACCCAGTCTGGTTTTGTGTCTCAGGCCGCTAGAGACACGCTGTTCCTGAAAATGATACTTTTATCACAGAAGCCTTTGTCCTTGGTGCTTGTCTGAATTCCATTAAATCCAGGCTTTAATATTGCACAAAGACATGTTTGCAAACACCTACTGGAAATCCTTAGTATACAACATTATAGGACCTATAACACACACATCAGGTCAGAGTGAGATATTAGGACCTATAACACACACATCAGGTCTGAGTGAGATATTAGGACCTTCAACACACACATCAGGTCTGAGTGAGATATTAGGACCTTCAACACACACATCAGGTCTGAGTGAGATATTAGGACCTTCAACACACACATCAGGTCTGAGTGAGATATTAGGACCTACAACACACACATCAGGTCAGAGTGAGATATTAGGACCTATAACACACACATCAGATCAGAGTGAGATATTAGGACCTACAACACACACATCAGGTCTGAGTGAGATATTAGGACCTACAACACACACATCAGGTCTGAGTGAGATATTAGGACCTACAACACACACATCAGGTCTGAGTGAGATATTAGGACCTACAACACACACATCAGGTCTGAGTGACATATTAGGACCTACAACACACACATCAGGTCTGAGTGAGATATTAGGACCTACAACACACACATCAGGTCTGAGTGACATATTAGGACTTACAGTATAACAAGCACTTCAGGTCTGAGTGAAATATTTATCAACCGTTACTCCTTTCACGGGTTAGGGTTGGACAAATACATTATAACTTTAATGTAGAAATATTTATTTTTATACATGTTTGTAATTTTTGACACCTCACTTTTATATTTGTTTTTGATGTTTTAAATTCTAATTTAAACATGATTTTCCAACTGGAGTTAAGACAATTTTTCAGGGAGATAATCTACTGACACAAGGAGAACATGCAAGCTCCACTCCAAAAGGCCCCTTCTGGCTGAAAGTTTTTTTCTTTTTTTTACGAACACACACTCACTACTCAAGTATCTTTTTAAATTACCATGAGTCAATATTTTGGCTATTCTACCCACCTCTGGGAATGTATTTAAGTTTGTGACAAAATAGGTGACATATGAGGACAAGTGTGTGTGTGTTAAAAGTGTGTTAAGGTAGTACCGTGCACGACCAGAGAGACATTTTGGGACATGCTTGATTTTTGGTGTGGAGCTTGTTCTGGGCCTCTACAACACTGTAGTATGCATGGAAAATGGGGACCTGAAAAAAGTCCCCACATTTCCTCAGGTCCTGATATTGAAGGTGTGTTATCATACAAAAGTCCTCATATGTCCACAAAACAAACGCACACACACAAACACACACACGCACACACTCACGCACACACTCACACACACACACACACACACACACACACACACACACACACACACACACACACACACACACACACACACACTCACACACACAAACACACACACACTCACACACTCACACATACTCCCCCAGCTGTTCCTTTGCTATTGTATTGTAATCAACAATGTATTATCACTGTTATCTGTATTTTGTTTATTTTCCTGTAGGCTCTTCACTTTATGAAAAGTGAATAAAAAAAATATAAAAAAAATACATTCACACTTTGATGGTTTTCCAGCTCTTGGTTGGTTTCATAGTTTTTTTCTCTTGGCCAGTAAAGAAATTCCACTACAGTCCTAAAACCAGAACTAATCTGAGAGAAGTTCAGACCCGAGGACTAATGTGGTCGTACTTCCTGGTTCTATTCAGGACTCGAGCTGCAGTTTTGAATGAACTTCAGCTGTTTTAGATCGTTAGGAGCAGGCCATTACAGTCGTCTGATATACTGCATCAATCTCCAAATCTGCTCTGGGAAACATTTTTTATTTGGCAATGACTCCATTCCCAAGAGTCTATTATTGTTTGAAGATGTCTTACTTAATTTGTCTTAATCTGTAATTGCAATTTCTTTTTGGTCTTTGTGAGTCCAAAGTTTATCTGGAGTTTGTTTGGTCTTGCATCCACACATGCAGGGGCAATCTCCTGAATAAAAAAACACTGGGTCAGTCTATCTTTTCATTGATTGCGTTGAATTCGGCTGCTGGTTTGCTGTCAGGGACCAGGCGTAGAGAACACATAACACCTGTCCTTCGTCTCTGCACTGGCTCCTGTCGGCTCGTATCCACTTTAAAATGCTGCTTCTGGTTTTTAAATGTCTTCATGGTCTGGCCCCAGCCCACCTGTCCCAGTGTCCCCTTACACTCCCTCCAGACAGATGAGGTCCAGTGGTCAGCTTCTGCTTAGCGTACCCAAATCCCGACAAAAAACCAGAGGTGACCTTCTCTGTAGCGGCTCCTAAACTCTGGAACAGCCTCTTGTCTATGCGAAGCGCAGCTTCTTTAAATGTTTTAAGACTTTATTAAAAACTCATCTTTTTATTCTGGTTTTTGACAACTAGGAGGTGTTGCACTGCTGTAATATTTGTTATGTTTCTACTAAAGCCTTTTATTTATTTTTTTGTTTTTGATGTATGATACTGTGCAGCGCTTGTTGTTGTAAATGTGCTATATAAACTTGACATTTACATTGAATCAAAACCTCGTGGCAGCTGAGGGAGGATTTCACATATTTTACTGCTGAACAGGATACAAGAGTTATTGTTGTGTATTAATCTGGTCCGTCATCTGGAACCCTCCGCCCCCACCTTTGGGGCACGGTGCAGAGAGGATATTTTTCCAGAAAACATGTGATCGATCCATGAGGCCGACTTCGTCCAAAGATAAAAGTCGTTAGTTCTTCCAGTTGTTTCTCAGAAGATATTATGGACCGTGCTGTTTTATTGTTGCTGCTTTTACTGTTAAATGAACATGCATCCATACATTTCTATCATAAAGCTGCCACGCAAAAATAAACAATGAAAATACATACAGTATCATGGATGACTCCCTTAACAGGTGATTAATGTCACACATAAAAAAGCAGAATTCTAAAGCTTTTGGGTCTAACATTTGTCAACTTTAGACAAAACAAAGATTTAAACTATCCGAACAATGTCACACTTGGCAAAACCATTGATCTCCAGATCCAGACACAGGTGGGTTTCCTTCACCGCACAAAACATGTGGGACTATCACCTACAGTCACCTACAGTCCATCACCTACAGACACCTACAGTCCATCACCTACAGACACCTACAGTCCATCACCTACAGTCACCTACAGTCCATCACCTACAGTCACCTACAGTCCATCACCTACAGTCACCTACAGTCCATAACCTACAGTCACCTACAGTCCATCACCTACAGTCACCTACAGTCCATAACCTACAGTCACCTACAGTCCATCACCTACAGTCACCTACAGTCCATAACCTACAGTCACCTACAGTCCATCACCTACAGTCACCTACAGTCCATAACCTACAGTCACCTACAGTCCATCACCTACAGTCACCTACAGCTCATCACCTACAGTCACCTACAGTCACCTATAGTCCATCACCTACAGTCCATCACCTACAGTCACCTACAGTCCACCACCTACAGTCACCTACAGCTCATCACCTACAGTCACCTACAGTCACCTACAGCTCATCACCTACAGTCCATCACCTACAGTCACCTACAGCGCATCACCTACAGTCACCTACAGCTCATCACCTACAGTCACCTACAGCTCATCACCTACAGTCCATCACCTACAGTCACCTATAGTCCATCACCTACAGTCCATCACCTACAGCCCATCACCTACAGTCACCTACAGTCCATCACCTACAGCTCATCACCTACAGTCCATCCCCTACAGTCCATCACCTACAGTCACCTACAGTCCATCACCTACAGTCACCTACAGTCCATCACCTACAGTCACCTACAGTCCATCACCTACAGTCACCTACAGCCCATCACCTACAGTCACCTACAGTCCATCACCTACAGTCACCTACAGTCCATCACCTACAGTCACCTACAGTCCATCACCTACAGTCACCTACAGTCCATCACCTACAGTCACCTACAGTCTATCACCTACAGTCACCTACAGTCCATCCCCTACAGTCCATCCCCTACAGTCACCTACAGTCCATCACCTACAGTCCATCACCTACAGTCACCTACAGTCCATCACCTACAGTCACCTACAGTCACCTACAGTCACCAACAGTCCATCACCTACAGTCACCTACAGCCCATCACCTACAGTCCATCACCTACAGTCCATCACCTACAGTTGTTGTATTGTTGTATTTCTTATTTCACAGACCAAGGTCACACAAAGAGCCTCAAAGGTCATTTCCTTTCACTCCACACAGGCTGATGACAGAAGTGAGATTGTGTTTTTAAGAATGCAAATAAACAGGGTTGGAGCTAATGCTAATGCACTAGGTAGCTAGGTAAAGGTAAATGTGCACTTTATTAATCCCCATAGGGCACTTCCTCCTCTGCATTTGACCCTGATGCCACTAAGGCTCATGTCAGGAGCAGTGGTCGCCGTAGAAACAGCGCCCGGGAACCATCTCCAGATGTTGATGCTCTTGGTCAGGACCAGAGCTGGAGGATTTAACCTAGTGAGTATGTTTTTAGTGGTAGGGGAAACCGGAGTACCCGGAGGTACTGAACTGGGTGCAGCTCTGACGGCCACCCCCCTGACCCAGACATGGATTAAGGGGAAGAAAATGGATGGATGGCACTAGGTAGCATTAAGGACGGTTTTAAGTTGTAATTAATTATTATTATAATAAAAATGTAGATTTATCTGAGTGAGCTGTATTTTCCCCTAAAAAAAACAACAACAATAACAGTATTATAGATTATAGATTTACAGTATTATAGATTATACATTTACAGTAGTATAGATTATAGATTTACAGTATTATAGATTATAGATTTATTATAGATTGCAGTCCTATACATTTCAGTAAAACATAAAGCCACACACAGAAATTCACTTTTGGCCAAAGATTAGACTTCAGAATATGTTTACATCCCTGAACCGTCTCACTCTTTTCTCTCCTTTCTTTTGCCGTAATCTTCCCATAGACTGTAAATATTTATGACTCTTCCACAACAACAGGGATATTCCACAGTAAGTATTAACTGTGTGTGAAGTATTTTCCAACTCCAAAGAGGTATGCACTGTATTATGATGATTATATTCTAATTACTTCAGAGCATGATCTAATGGTTTGCCTCAAAGTAAACAAAGGAGATAACTTGTTTGTTAGACAGGCTTTCAAAGGGTCTGCTGCCCCCTGGTGGACATGGGCAGGATGCGTGACAGTGAAACCCCAGCTCTGTAACACACACTGTACTGACTCATGTATGTCTGTCTTTGTATATATTGTGTATTTACAGATGTGTATAATCCTGTGACCCACTATTCTAAACTGCAAATGTACATATTCACAGATATGTTTATTCCTGAGTACCTATAGCCATATTATTCTATTCTCACAATAGTATCACATCTTATTATTACTATTTTCTGATTGTTTGTTACTTTATTGTTATTTTTTGTGGAATACTATGCACGCTACTGTGACAACGCAATTTCAATAAAGTCTTGTGTATACACGTATGTCCCAGGGTGAAGTCAGTCATGCCACTGTCCTTCTGCACAAACAGAGCAGACTTCAAGTTGTATTGTGATATTATTCTAACTGTTACATCAAACTATTCAAAATATTTCCCACAGGTTCTGTTTATGGTTCTGTCTATGGTTCTGTCCATGGTTCATTCCATGGTTCTGTCTATGGTTCAGTCTATGGTTCTGTCCATGGTTCTGTCCATGGTTCTGTCTATGGTTCTGTCCATGGTTCAGTCTATGGTTCTGTCCATGGTTCTGTCTATGGTTCTGTCCATGGTTCTGTCTATGGTTCAGTCTATGGTTCTGTCCATGGTTCTGTCCATGGTTCTGTCCATGGTTCTGTCTATGGTTCTGTCCATGGTTCTGTCCATGGTTCAGTCTATGGTTCTGTCCATGGTTCTGTCTATGGTTCTGTCCATGGTTCTGTCTATGGTTCAGTCTATGGTTCTGTCTATGGTTCTGTCCATGGTTCTGTCTATGGTTCTGTCTATGGTTCTGTCTATGGTTCTGTCTATGGTTCTGTCTATGGTTCTGTCCATGGTTCTGTCTATGGTTCTGTCCATGGTTCTGTCTATGGTTCTGTCTATGGTTCTGTCCATGGTTCTGTCTATGGTTCTGTCTATGGTTCTGTCCATGGTTCAGTCTATGGTTCAGTCTATGGTTCTGTCTATGGTTCTGTCTATGGTTCTCTCCATGGTACTGTCTATGGTTCTGTCTATGGTTCTGTCTATGGTTCTGTCCATGGTTCTGTCTATGGTTCTGTCTATGGTTCTGTCCATGGTTCAGTCTATGGTTCAGTCTATGGTTCTGTCTATGGTTCTGTCCATGGTTCTGTCCATGGTTCTGTCTATGGTTCTGTCCATGGTTCTGTCCATGGTTCTGTCCATGGTTCTGTCTATGGTTCTGTCCATGGTTCTGTCCATGGTTCTGTCTATGGTTCTGTCCATGGTTCTGTCCATGGTTCTGTCTATGGTTCTGTCCATGGTTCTGTCCATGGTTCTGTCTATGGTTCAGTCTATGGTTCTGTCCATGGTTCTGTCTATGGTTCTGTCCATGGTTCTGTCTATGGTTCTGTCTATGGTTCTCTCCATGGTACTGTCTATGGTTCTGTCTATGGTTCTGTCCATGGTTCTGTCTATGGTTCTGTCCATGGTTCTGTCCATGGTTCTGTCCATGGTTCTGTCTATGGTTCTGTCCATGGTTCTGTCCATGGTTCTGTCTATGGTTCTGTCCATGGTTCTGTCCATGGTTCTGTCTATGGTTCTGTCTATGGTTCTGTCCATGGTTCTGTCCATGGTTCTGTCTATGGTTCTGTCTATGGTTCTGTCCATGGTTCTGTCCATGGTTCATTCCATGGTTCAGTCTATGGTTCTGTCCATGGTTCTGTCTATGGTTCTCTCTATGGTTCTGTCCCATGGAACAATAAGCTCAGGGCGCCCTCTGGTGGTCAAATACTGCAGTAACACTCGGTTTGTTTCCCACAGTAATCAGTCACACACTAAAGTCTTCTTCCTCTGAGTTAGCCTCAGTCCTGGGTCTACAGCCTCAGTCCTGGGTCTACAGCCTCGGTCCTGGGTCTACAGTCTCGGTCCTGGGTCTACAGCCTCAGTCCTGGGTCTACAGGCTCGGTCCTGGGTCTACAGCCTCGGTCCTGGGTCTACAGCCTCGGTCCAGGGTCTACAGCCTCAGTCCTGGGTCTACAGCCTCAGTCCTGGGTCTACAGCCTCAGTCCTGGGTCTACAGGCTCGGTCCTGGGTCTACAGCCTCAGTCCTGGGTCTACAGTCTCAGTCCTGGGTCTACAGCCTCAGTCCTGGGTCTACAGGCTCGGTCCTGGGTCTACAGCCTCGGTCCTGGGTCTACAGCCTCAGTCCTGGGTCTACAGCCTCGGTCCTGGGTCTACAGGCTCGGTCCTGGGTCTACAGCCTCGGTCCTGGGTCTACAGCCTCGGTCCTGGGTCTACAGCCTCGGTCCTGGGTTTACAGCCTCAGTCCTGGGTCTACAGCCTCAGTCCTGGGTCTACAGTCTCAGTCCTGGGTCTACAGTCTCAGTCCTGGGTCTACAGCCTCAGTCCTGGGTCTACAGCCTCGGTCCTGGGTTTACAGTCTCGGTCCTGGGTCTACAGCCTCGGTCCTGGGTCTACAGCCTCGGTCCTGGGTCTACAGCCTCAGTCCTGGGTCTACAGCCTCAGTCCTGGGTCTACAGCCTCAGTCCTGGGTCTACAGCCTCAGTCCTGGGTCTACAGCCTCAGTCCTGGGTCTACAGTCTCAGTCCTGGGTCTACAGTCTCAGTCCTGGGTCTACAGCCTCAGTCCTGGGTCTACAGCCTCGGTCCTGGGTCTACAGTCTCGGTCCTGGGTCTACAGCCTCGGTCCTGGGTCTACAGCCTCGGTCCTGGGTCTACAGCCTCAGTCCTGGGTCTACAGTCTCAGTCCTGGGTCTACAGTCTCAGTCCTGGGTCTACAGCCTCAGTCCTGGGTCTACAGCCTCAGTCCTGGGTCTACAGTCTCAGTCCTGGGTCTACAGCCTCAGTCCTGGGTCTACAGCCTCAGTCCTGGGTCTACAGCCTCAGTCCTGGGTCTACAGCCTCAGTCCTGGCCAGTGTACCTGTAATCTGCCCTCTCATCTCTAAGTCTTACTGGACTCTGATGACCACAGACATATGGAGCAGGCTTATCCACAGGCAGCCTGACCTGTCACCTGCACCCGGGATTAGACCAGACCAGACCAGTCCGGGCCAGGCCTTCTCACAACCACACGCCCAACTCACAGGCACACCAAGTTTTAAAGCACGAGAAATATGGTTTTCAAGCATTTTTTGATTTACACCCAACAAGGCTGCAACAACTAGATGTCGACTAATTCTAGAGATCGATTAATCGGATCAAAGGGAAAAGCATAACCGTGTTTAAAAAGCCAATAACCAGTTTTGTATCAGCTCATCTATGAAAATGTTCTTAAAGTGCATCATTCTTTTTGCTCAATTTAGTTTGGATTTTAGAAAACACAAAAGAAAATAAGAAAAAAGTTGCATCTTTTTATAATAATATTAATACATTTTATTTAAAGTGCCTGTCAACACACCCAAGGACACTGTACAGGACAGTTAAGTGGAGTAGGACCATGGGGTAGGACCGTGGGGTAGGACCGTGAGGTAGGACCGTGGGATGGGACCGTGAGGTAGGACCGTGGGGTGGGACCGTGGGGTAGGACCGTGAGGTAGGACCGTGGGGTGGGACCGTGGGGTGGGACCGTGAGGTGGGACCGTGGGATGGGACCGTGAGGTAGGACCGTGGGGTGGGACCGTGGGGTGGGACCGTGAGGTGGGACCGTGGGATGGGACCGTGAGGTAGGACCGTGAGGTGGGACCGTGGGGTGGGACCGTGGGATGGGACCGTGAGGTAGGACCGTGAGGTGGGACCGTGGGGTGGGACCGTGAGGTGGGACCGTGGGATGGGACCGTGAGGTAGGACCGTGAGGTAGGACCGTGGGATGGGACCGTGAGGTAGGACCGTGAGGTGGGACCGTGGGGTGGGACCGTGGGGTGGGACCGTGGGATGGGACCGTGAGGTAGGACCGTGGGGTGGGACCGTGGGGTGGGACCGTGGGGTGGGACCGTGGGATGGGACCGTGAGGTAGGACCGTGGGGTGGGACCGTGGGGTGGGACCGTGGGATGGGACCGTGAGGTAGGACCGTGGGGTGGGACCGTGGGGTAAGACCGTGGGGTGGGACCGTGAGGTGGGACCGTGGGGTAGGACCGTGGGGTGGGACCGTGGGGTAGGACCGTGAGGTAGGACCGTGGGATGGGACCGTGGGGTGGGACCGTGGGGTAGGACCGTGGGGTGGGACCGTGGGGTGGGACCGTGGGGTGGGACCGTGGGGTGGGACCGTGAGGTAGGACCGTGGGGTAGGACCGTGAGGTAGGACCGTGGGGTAGGACCGTGGGGTGGGACCGTGGGGTGGGACCGTGAGGTGGGACCGTGGGGTGGGACCGTGAGGTGGGACCGTGAGGTAGGACCGTGGGGTAGGACCGTGGGATGGGACCGTGAGGTAGGACCGTGGGGTGGGACCGTGGGGTGGGACCGTGAGGTAGGACCGTGGGGTAGGACCGTGGGGTGGGACCGTGGGGTGGGACCGTGAGGTAGGACCGTGGGGTAGGACCGTGGGATGGGACCGTGAGGTAGGACCGTGGGATGGGACCGTGAGGTAGGACCGTGAGGTGGGACCGTGGGGTGGGACCGTGAGGTAGGACCGTGGGGTAGGACCGTGGGGTAGGACCGTGGGGTAGGACCATGGGGTAGGACCGTGGGGTGGGACCATGGGGTAGGACCGTGGGGTGGGACCGTGAGGTAGGACCGTGGGGTAGGACCGTGGGGTGGGACCGTGGGGTAGGACCGTGGGGTAGGACCATGGGGTAGGACCGTGGGGTAGGACCATGGGGTAGGACCGTGGGGTAGGACCGTGGGGTAGGTTGAAGAGGGAGGAGTCAGTGGTCGGAGATCGAGGGAGAGTGGCTGAAGGCTCATTTTCCGATCTTCCAACCGATCGATTTCCAGATTCAGATTCAGATTCAGTTTATTTGCCATTTGCAGTAAAAAAAACCACATTGGAATACATTAGCAAAAGTCTCCAAAACTAGCATAAAAGAACTGAAGGCGTAGCGTGTGTCACATAAACACAGCAAAGAGAAAGTAATTCACACATTGTTATAATCAGTCCTTTGGTTCTCTCCTCGCAGAGACCATGTGTTCCAGTGGATTATGTTTTCACTGCAGATTAGAGGCAGATTAATGAGATTAACTTCAACAATACACACTTTTAATTAAGAAAAGTGAACAGGAGCAGGGGGCAGAAACAAAGTCAGAACAAAACAACATTAGGCTAAGTCCAAGTAAATATTCATCTGATGTTTTTAACGACACAGTGACCGGAGGGACCTGTATCTGAGAACCACAGTGAGAGCCTTTGTTCCACAGATGGGAAATGTCAGTGTTGCATCGCAGGTCACAGAGCAGCACAGGTGAGGCTCAGCAGCAGTGGTCGCCGTAGTAACAGCGCCCGGGAACCCATCTCCAGATGTTGCTGCTCTGGGTCAGGACCAGAGCTGGAGGATTTAACCTGAGCATGTTTTCTTTTTTTTTTTGTGGTAGGGGAAACCGAAGCACCTGGAGGACACCTACGCAGACACGGGGAGAACATGCAAACTCCACTCAGAAAGGCCCTGTTGTGACTGGGATTAGAACCCAGGACCTCCTTGCTGAGAAGGCGAGAGGGCTAACCACTCAGCCACTGTGACGGCCAGAGTGGACACCTGTGGTCAAGTATTGCACATTCATTATTGCACAGTGAGGTCAGGTCAGCAGTGTTCATCCGTCTTCATTGTTCATTGTACAGTCTGACAGCAGCTGGGAGGAAAGACCTGCTGAACCTCTGCTTTACACTGCGAGGGTGGATCAACCTGTCACTGAAGCTGCTCTCCAGAGCCAATGATTTACTACAACTACTACTTTAATGCAAGATACTTGAGTAAAGGTTTGTATTGTATCCTACAATAATAAAGCTGAGGTACTGAACTTTCACTAAAGATTAAACTAGTAAAATCCAAGCACCGCGTTCCTTTGGTTCTTTCACTAGTTTTTACATCTTTGGATCGGCTTTTTCAGACAGAAAAGAGGAGACCACCCTCAGTCGGCCAATCAGCTTTCAGTTCAAAGTTGTGACTCGTTTCCTACAAGTCTGCAAAGGTTTCTGAATAGATTATTTTTTAATGTTTATCTAAGATAGGTGTATTATATCGAAATGGGGCGACAGTAGCTCAGTGGTAGAGCATTGGCCTTTGGCCTGAAGTTCGTGGTTCAAGCCCACCATAAGACCTACATCACGACTCCCACTGATGACACTTGGGCAAGACACTAACCCCACTTATGCCTGAAGCTCCCACTGAAAGATCGCTCGGCTCCTGTGGACTCAGCTCCTGCAGGAGGATCAGTGAGGGCTGGTGCTCTGTGTACTCTGACTGCCACCCCCCCCGACCCAGAAATGAATTAATGGAAGAAAAATGGATGGATGGATGTGAATTAATATCATCAATTAGAAATCAGAACGTTTAAACTGTAACTCACATTAACATGGACCAAGACCATTTATTTTAAAGCATGTATTGGTCTCTGCGTGTGGTTTTATGATGTTTCCTGCTTTTATTTCATGAACTTAAAGCTGTGACAAAGCTCTGTTGACTCTAACACTCAGAACCAGAGTATTTCTACATGAGAGTTGTATAGAGTTTGTTAGTAACATTAGCCTCTGTCCTTGTGCTAATCCTCTCGTCTCCTTCTCTCCGTCTGCAGATCTGGATCACCTTCTCCAGAGAGAAGCAGACCCTGCCAGGCCGGATTATCTCAGGCTTTAGGCAGCACACTCCACACGGGCCACAGGCCAGATACATGCACTGCTAATACTGCACAATACTACTGATACTAATACTGCACAATACTACATCGCTAATACTGCACAATACTACACCGCTAATACTGCACAATACTACACCACTAATACTGCACAATACTACATCGCTAATACTGCACAATACTACACCGCTAATACTGCACAATACTACACCGCTAATACTGCACAATACTACTGATACTAATACTGCACAATACTACACCGCTAATACTGCACAATACTACACCGCTAATACTGCACAATACTACTGATACTAATACTGCACAATACTACACCGCTAATACTGCACAATACTACACCGCTAATACTGCACAATACTACACAGCTAATACTGTACAATACTACACAGCTAATACTGCACAATACTACACCGCTTATACTGCACAATACTACACCGCTAATACTGCACAATACTACACCGCTAATACTGCACAATACTACACTACTAATACTGCACAATACTACTAATACTAATACTGCACAATACTGCACTACTAATACTGCACAATACTGCACCGCTAATACTGCACCATACTACACCGCTAATACTGTACAATACTGCACCGCTAATACTGCACAATACTACTAATACTAATACTGCACAATACTACACTACTAATACTGCACAATACTACACCGCTAATACTGCACAATACTACACTACTAATACTGCACAACACTACTAATACTAATACTGCACAATACTACACTACTAATACTGCACAATACTACACCGCTAATACTGCACAATACTACACCGCTAATACTGCACAATACTACACCACTAATACTGCACAATACTACTGATACTAATACTGCACAATACTACTGATACTAATACTGCACAATACTACTCATACTAATACTGCACAATACTACTCATACTAATACTGCACAATACTACTCATACTAATACTGCACAATACTACTCATACTAATACTACACAATACTACACTACTTATTCTACACAATACTACTCATACTAATACTACACAATACTACACTACTTATTCTACACAATACTACACTACTAATACCATATGTACTACAGATTATCTTCAGATGTAAACATACAAGTATATACTTAAAGTGTTTTTCTTAAGTTATAGATAGATTAAAGCGTACCGTACAGAGCCTATAGAGTGTATAGAGTTGTGCTTTGCTCGTGTTGTGTGCTCCTCATTCCCACCGTTGGATCTTAATCTATTTCATCCATGTATTACACTGGTGTTACTACGGGCCATAGAAGCTGCTGCTATTCAAATGTTTGCAAAGGTTTAGTACTTTTCCTTCGTGTGTTTTGGAACAGCCTCATATTTGGTCATTATTGAGCACATTTCTGTCCTCTGATGTCATCGTGCGCAGGACAAGAGTCTGAGCTGCGTCACATTCCTCACTTTCTTCCCAACAGTCACAGGTTGAGGAGCTGTATTCTGATGCAAAGTGTCTGATGAAGACTTAATACAAGGTGCTCTTTTATAAACTGCTGCTCTATTGAGAGAGAGGGCCCCCAGAGCGGCCCCCAGAGCTGCTCCCAGGGCCAGCAACCGACGCAAGGCTTATTCAGAGTACGCAGAAGCCCCCCCCAGACCCCCGCCTCAGTATACGCCGAGGGATTTAGGAGCAAGTTTCAACCATAAAAGACTGAAACTGTTTAAACATTCATAACGTCACAATATGTGTTTTTAATGAAAGTTTGGGGAGATTTGATGTAGAGCACTTACTGTACTCTCCAGAATCCATTGTGCTTTGATTGTTTCAACGGTGGCTGAGTAGTAAGCACTCTCGCTTCTCAGCAAGGTCCTGGGTTCGATTCCACCTCCAAATGGGGCATCTCTGAGTGAAGTTTGCATGTTCTCCATCTGTCTCCATAGATTTCCTCTGGGTGCTCCGGTTTCCTCTGTCACTAACACCTGTTCCCATCTCGGGAATGTATAAAAAACACATTATTATAGTTGTAATCAAAAGAGATTCCATACTTGTAATTTCATAGCCTTTGCTGCTATATGAAGATTATGTTAATTATATATATATATATATATATATATATTTCAAAGGTTTATGTAAAACAAATATATTTCACACATACTTGTACTTGCACTTGTACTTGTTCACGTACTTCTACCTCTTAATTGAGTCAGTAAATGTGTTTACGTTGCACTAATGCGAACATGCTAACAGTGCTAAAGCGGCTAAGCTAATCACAAAACAGAGCACGCGCCGCCCCTTTGGCTCAGTGACCCCGCCCCTCTGGCTCAGTGACCCCGCCCCTCTGGCTCACGTGACCCCGCTGCTACTGCCTCGCGCTCTCCTCCATCAGTCCATAGACCGTCCATAGACCTGGCTCCAGAGCAGACCCAGACCCGAGGGCAGGTCTCCGTGGGTATTTCACCTGCCGTGGGACACACAGGGGGAGCCGGCTACAGCAGAGGGGACGTGTGGTCGTGCATTTAACCCGATTCTCGCGCATGAGACGCTGAAGTTTACCAGAGACGTAGCGGTCCACAAACCAGGAGGAACTACAGGACACCGGGGAGAGGAGGCGCGGAACCCGGGGAGAGGAGGCGCGGAACCCGGGGAGAGGAGGCGCGGAACCCGGGGAGAGGAGGCGCAGAACCCGGGGAGAGGAGGCGAGTGGACCCGGGGAGAGGAGGCGAGTGGACCCGGGGAGAGGAGGCGAGGAACCCGGGGAGAGGAGGCGCGGAACCCGGGGACAGGAGGCGCGGAACCCGGGGACAGGAGGCGAGGAACCCGGGGAGAGGAGGCGAGGAACCCGGGGAGAGGAGGCGAGTGGACCCGGTCAGTGTGTGCGTGCGTTACCAGGGTTACGCACGTTCAACAGACGTGCCAAAAGAGACAACTGTTCTATACCTGCTCGATATCTGCTCTATACAATACAATACAAAACAATGTATTGTTGTATAGCCCTAGGTCACAACAGTATCATCTCAGAGACTTAACAAAACCATTGAAATCACCAACACAGGTCAGAGAATCAACAGTTAAAACACATGAAGAATATAAAGCACACACAGAAGAAAATGTCCATACATGTTGTAGAATGCTAAAGTGTCCTGATCATCACCAATCCTTTCTGTTGGACACTAACTGTCCAACAAGACCCTCCTGCTCTATAACTGCTCTATAACTGCTCTATAACTGCTCTATAACTACTCTATACTGCTCTATAACTGCTCTATACTGCTCTATAACTGCTCTATAACTGCTCTATACTGCTCTATAACTGCTCTATAACTGCTCTATACTGCTCTATACTGCTCTATAACTGCTCTATAACTGCTCTATACTGCTCTATACTGCTCTATACTGCTCTATAACTGCTCTATACTGCTCTATAACTGCTCTATACCTGCTCTATACCTGCTCTATAACTGCTCTATAACTGCTCTATATACTGCTCTATACTGCTCTATAACTGCTCTATAACTGCTCTATACCTGCTTAATAACTGCTCTACACCTGCTCTATAACTGCTCTATACCTGCTCTATAACTGCTCTATACTGCTCTATAACTGCTCTATACCTGCTCTATAACTGCTCTATACCTGCTCTATACCTGCTCTATAACTGCTCTATAACTGCTCTATACCTGCTCTATACCTGCTCTATAACTGCTCTATACCTGCTCTATACCTGCTCTATAACTGCTCTATACCTGCTCTATAACTGCTCTATAAGTGCTCTATACCTGCTCTATACCTGCTCTATAACTGCTCTATAACTGCTCTATACCTGCTCTATAACTGCTCTATACCTGCTCTATACCTGCTCTATAACTGCTCTATACCTGCTCTATCACTACCATCAAAAATGCACGATTATGAAGTTGCAAATGCAGGTTAATACACCAAAAACCACCACATTGTTTTTAGCTGATCTCACAGAATTAGGAGATCTGAGGCAGTGGAATGCAGGTCATGTAACAGTGGAAATAGACCATAACTTTGTAGAGTAAGTGTAGAGCAGAGACCATTATGTGTTATTTAAAAGCGTACAGTTGAGTGGACATTATAGCTTCATGCCCTTGTTCTTTTAAGGTACATTTGATTCTAAATAGTCGCTTGATATTTTCCAAGTAAAAACAATAACATATTTAAGATTGAATGTTTCACACAGACTTCTCCTACAATACAAAAACATATTCTCTTGTTGCTGCTTTAAGCTTGGTTTTATTTGGATGAATTCCTAGGTCGACTGCTTAAATTTGCGTCAGGGAAGTTCTCCCATCCAGGTTTGTCAAAGCAGTGTTGATAATAACTCACAGAAGTATAGCAGGAGCTGTCACCACTGAATCATAACAAAAGTAGATTCTGCTAAAAGTGTTAACGTTAGGTTGAAAAATGCTGTATTACTTCGGTGTTAATGTCTTTTGCCCCATGAGATAAAGATAAGCTCCAAAGATAACTACATTTCCAACTACTATGAAGCGACATAACCAATCCTGTGTACGTCTTCCTTCATTAGTAATTCAGCCAATCCCCTCTTTCTGCTGTTAAATCTCGTTGTGTAATTCATCCAACTGTTTGTGTTGTAAATAAGGCATTGTGTTGTTCTGTCACGAGCGCTCTCTTCTCACACTCAGGCTTGTGTCTGCCTTTGCTCTGCACCAATAAGGTCATCAGCTCAATCCCTCACAGACAAGCACCACACACTCACAGCCGCTGACGTCACCTCACCTCACTGCAACCTCTCAAGTCTGCAATTTATAACGGTGTGTTGTGCAGAGGCTCCTGACCTGACCACAAGCTACAAGACCTGCTGTTATCTTCTACTAAAAGCCACGTTCCTCATACCTTGGATTTGTAGTATTTGCATTGTGTATTGTGTAGTAAAGTAGAGGGCAGGGGTCTCAAACCTGTAGCTCGCCAAAGGATTTAGAAACACTCTCAAAATCTCAATAACAGGAGGAGTGAGTGCTACAGGGTCCATATGTTAAAGACGTAAGTAAAATCAGGTGCTCTTCAGGATGAGAAACAGCAGAGCAAACAAAGATACCCTTTCTGTGGAAAAGTAAACACAGGGTAAACTCTGAGGCACTCTGATTAATAAAAAGTCCTTTTGCTCAATTAAATAATATGAGGTACAAATCTATATCACCAATGTTTTCCTCTGCTTTTATTGTCCCGGGAAAGAGCTCTCTGGGTGAAAACGGTTGGAGACACCTGGCAAAAGTTAATCAAAGACTAACTGGGGAACCACACAAATGGGTTTGATGAATTACATTACTACAGTCTCATGTCTAAACATGTGAAATCTAGCAGCCAGTGTTAATTTATGAACAGATTCTTCCTTTGGGATCCCTACAACTGCACATGTGACGGCTGAATGACTCCAGATAACATCACGGGTCATCCATGCGTTACGCGGCGCACACGGACTGCAGACTAATTAAAAGTCAACAAAGTTTCTTCTCATGTGCGGCCAGCGATGAACCGAAAGTGGCTCGAGTTCAGAGGAAGTGGTGGACTGAGTAATAAGTCCGTTCTTGTGTCTAGTGAAGCGTAGAGAGAAGCACCGGCTCCGAAAATACATCACAAATGTCTAAAGTGCATCGTGGCAAGTTATTCAAAGAATCTCTCTCTGAGCTGATGGAAGGCAGGGAACTACAGCTATTGGTTTATGCACAGGCAGAACAACCATGTCCTCTGTCGACTGGACTGATCTATAATGGGACACTGTTTAAAGATGAGAGTAGTCAGACTTTTGGAGTGCTGGCTCTAAACGGCTCTTATCCCCCCCTTCAAGCCCCGCGGCAGCTCCACAGAGAGATGGGGACATTTCACACATGAGTCACTTTGGGACAGAGCTGAGGACGCAGGGACTCGGCCGTAAACCTCACTGGAACTCGCTCGCTGTGGAATACCTGTGGAAAGTATTTCTGAGATTTGCATTGACTGTAATGATTTGTGATGCAAACATGTGGTGGAAAACTACAAAGGATGAGACTCAGACACAGATTCCATCCTCTGGAACTCTGTGGATCTGCGACAGAGAATTATATATTTATACTGACTATATGAGACTGAATATTTTGACTTTTAATGTTGAAATAATATGGAAATGAAGTTTGTAGTTTGAAGATAATAATCGTAGTAGAATGAGAAAAAAGTCATGAAATTATGAGAGTAAAGTTTTGTTACTAAGACCTTTTCTAACTTTGATCATTATATTATGACTAGTCTCTGACAATATTTCTACTTTAAGCTGGAAATATTCTGAGTTTAATCTCATAGAAATGTTCAAACCGTTGCAGTGAAGTCGTGCACCAGAAATGATTAACTGTAAATACTATAATATATATAAAAATTCCAAATAGTTTCCAAATAACCCCGACATGAGGAAGGCTGTGATGCTGTAGTGAAGGCTGTGATGCTGTAGTGAAGGCTGTGATGCTGTAGTGAAGGCTGTGATGCTGTAGTGAAGGCTGTGATGCTGTAGTGAAGGCTGTGGTGCTGTAGTGAAGGCTGTGATGCTGTAGTGAAGGCTGTGGTGCTGCAGTGAAGGCTGTGGTGCTGTAGTGAAGGCTGTAGTGAAGGCTGTGGTGCTGTAGTGAAGGATGTGATGCTGTAGTGAAGGATGTGATGCTGTAGTGAAGGCTGTGGTGCTGTAGTGAAGGCTGTGATGCTGTAGTGAAGGCTGTGATGCTGTAGTGAAGGATGTGATGCTGTAGTGAAGGATGTGATGCTGTAGTGAAGGCTATGATGCTGTAGTGGTGCTGTAGTGAAGGATGTGATGCTGTAGTGAAGGCTGTGGTGCTGCAGTGAAGGCTGTGGTGCTGTAGTGAAGGCTGTAGTGAAGGCTGTGGTGCTGTAGTGAAGGATGTGATGCTGTAGTGAAGGCTGTGGTGCTGTAGTGAAGGATGTGATGCTGTAGTGAAGGCTGTGGTGCTGTAGTGAAGGCTGTGGTGCTGCAGTGAAGGCTGTGGTGCTGTAGTGAAGGCTGTAGTGAAGGCTGTGATGCTGTAGTGAAGGCTGTGGTGCTGTAGTGGTGCTGTAGTGAAGGCTGTGATGCTGTAGTGAAGGATGTGATGCTGTAGTGAAGGCTGTGCTGCTGTAGTGAAGGATGTGATGCTGTAGTGAAGGATGTGATGCTGTAGTGAAGGATGTGATGCTGTAGTGAAGGCTGTGATGCTGTAGTGGTGCTGTAGTGAAGGCTGTGGTGCTGTAGTGAAGGCTGTGATGCTGTAGTGAAGGCTGTGGTGCTGTAGTGAAGGCTGTGGTGCTGTAGTGAAGGCTGTGGTGCTGTAGTGAAGGCTGTGATGCTGTAGTGAAGGCTATGATGCTGTAGTGGTGCTGTAGTGAAGGATGTGATGCTGTAGTGAAGGCTGTGGTGCTGCAGTGAAGGCTGTGGTGCTGTAGTGAAGGCTGTGGTGCTGTAGTGAAGGCTGTGGTGCTGTAGTGAAGGATGTGATGCTGTAGTGAAGGATGTGATGCTGTAGTGAAGGCTGTGGTGCTGTAGTGAAGGCTGTGGTGCTGTAGTGAAGGCTGTGGTGCTGTAGTGAAGGCTGTGATGCTGTAGTGAAGGCTATGATGCTGTAGTGGTGCTGTAGTGAAGGATGTGATGCTGTAGTGAAGGCTGTGGTGCTGCAGTGAAGGCTGTGGTGCTGTAGTGAAGGCTGTAGTGAAGGCTGTGGTGCTGTAGTGAAGGCTGTAGTGAAGGCTGTGGTGCTGTAGTGAAGGATGTGATGCTGTAGTGAAGGATGTGATGCTGTAGTGAAGGCTGTGATGCTGTAGTGAAGGATGTGATGCTGTAGTGAAGGATGTGATGCTGTAGTGAAGGCTATGATGCTGTAGTGGTGCTGTAGTGAAGGATGTGATGCTGTAGTGAAGGCTGTGGTGCTACAGTGAAGGCTGTGGTGCTGTAGTGAAGGCTGTAGTGAAGGCTGTGGTGCTGTAGTGAAGGATGTGATGCTGTAGTGAAGGCTGTGGTGCTGTAGTGAAGGATGTGATGCTGTAGTGAAGGCTGTGGTGCTGTAGTGAAGGCTGTGGTGCTGCAGTGAAGGCTGTGGTGCTGTAGTGAAGGCTGTAGTGAAGGCTGTGATGCTGTAGTGAAGGCTGTGGTGCTGTAGTGGTGCTGTAGTGAAGGCTGTGATGCTGTAGTGAAGGATGTGATGCTGTAGTGAAGGCTGTGCTGCTGTAGTGAAGGATGTGATGCTGTAGTGAAGGATGTGATGCTGTAGTGAAGGCTGTGATGCTGTAGTGAAGGCTGTGATGCTGTAGTGAAGGCTGTGGTGCTGTAGTGAAGGCTGTGGTGCTGTAGTGAAGGCTGTGGTGCTGTAGTGAAGGCTGTGCTGCTGTAGTGAAGGCTGTGGTGCTGTAGTGAAGGCTGTGGTGCTGTAGTGAAGGCTGTGGTGCTGTAGTGAAGGCTGTGATGCTGTAGTGAAGGCTGTGGTGCTGTAGTGAAGGCTGTGATGCTGTAGTGAAGGCTGTGCTGCTGTTGTGATGCTGTAGTGAAGGCTGTGGTGCTGTAGTGAAGGCTGTGGTGCTGTAGTGAAGGCTGTGATGCTGTAGTGAAGGCTGTGCTGCTGTAGTGAAGGCCGTGCTACTGTAGTGAAGGCTGTGCTGCTGTAGTGAAGGCTGTGCTGCTGTAGTGAAGGCTGTGGTGCTGTAGTGAAGGCTGTGCTGATGTCGCTGCAGACCTCTTCTTGCAGGACTTATCGGAGTATCCTTGGTGACAGATCAAAGCGGTTTGTTGAGCTGCTTTTGATGTGCGCCTGTATCTGCCTCAGCCTGATAACGTCTGTGAGCTCGGGTGCATTGTACTGACTCTGAAGAGAATCATGGAGAAATCAGTTGGGAAAAAAAC